ACTTATTCATCTTATAACTGTGTGTACCCTTTAGCCAATGTCTTCCCATTCCCCAAAATCTGCCAGCCCCTAATAACCACTATTCTATTATTTGTTGCTGTTGGGTTTAGCTTTCTCAGAATCCACATACAAGTGAAATCATGTGTATTTGCCTGGTGTGTCTGAATTCACTTAGCATAATGTCTTCCAGGTTTATCTATGTTGTTGCAAATGGCAGGTTTCCTATTTTTTTTAAGGCTGAATAATATTCTGTTGTATATATACCACGTTGTCTTTACTCATTTATCCACTGATAAATATGTAGGTTGTTTTCACATCTTGGCTACTGTGAATAATGCTGCAATAAATGCGGGAGTGTAAATATAGCTTCAAAACATTTTCTTTTCTTTGAATATATACCCAGAAGTGGAATTGCTGATCCATATAACTCTATTTTTAATTTTTTTATTAAAAATTTAACCTCCATACTGTTTTCCATGGTGGCTGCACCAATTTGCATTCCCACCAAGAGTGCATGAGGGTTCCCTTTTTCCTACATCCTCACCCACACTTGCTACCCTTTGCCATTTTTGTTAATAGTCATGTTAACAGGTGTGCTATGGTATCTCACTGTAGTTTTGATTTGCATTTCCCTGATGAGTGATGTTGAGCATCTTTTCATGTGCCAGTTGACCATTTGTATGTTTTCTTTAGAAAAACGTCTACTAATGAACAAGAGGTTGTGGAAGGGGAGGTGGGCGGGAGGTTGGGGTGACTGGGTGATGGGCACTGAGGGGGGCACTTAGTGGGATGAGCACTGGGTGTTATGCTATATGTTGGCAAATTGAACTCCAATAAAAAAATTAAATTAAAAAAAAAGAAAAATGTCTACTCAGGTCCTTTGTCCATTTAAAAAATTTGGATATTTGGTCTTTTGCTCTGCAGATGTATCGGTTCCTTATATATTTGGGATATTAACCCCTTTACCAGACAGGTGATTTGCAAATATTTTCCCCATTCTGAATGTTGTCTTTTCATGTTGTTGATTGCTTCCTTTGCTGTGCAGATTTTTTTTTTTTTAGTTTTACTTCTGTTATTTTTTTTTCTAGTTTCATGAAATTGTGGTCTAAAAAGATACTTGATATTATTTCAATTTTCTTAAATTTGCTAAAATTTATTTTCTAACTTATATAATCTATCCTGGAGAATGTTTCTTGTGCATTTGAGAAGAATATATATTTTGTTGCAATTGCATGCAGTGCTGTGTCCTTCTGTTAGGTCTATCTGATCTAAAGTGTAATTCAAGTCCAATGTTATCTTACTGATTTTCTGTCTCAGTGATGTAACTTAAGGGTACTGAAGTTCTCTACTATTATTGTACTGCTGTTTATTTCTTCCTTCAGACTTGTTAGTATTTGCTTTTTATATTTAGATGTTCTGATGTTGGGTGCATAGATATAATACATTTGCTATATCCTCTTGATGATCTGACTCCTTTATCATTATATAAAGTCCATTGTTGTCTCTTGTTACAGTTTTTGACATAAAGCCTATTTTGTTTAATATAAGCATTGTGACACTTCTGTTGGTTTTCATTAGCATGGAATATCCTTTTCCATCCCCTTACTTTTAGCCTATGTATATCTTTAAAATAAGTGTTTTTAAAGTTTCCTATAGGCAGCATATTGCAGGATCATGGGGGTTTTTTTGTTTTTGTTTTTGTTTTTTAATTCATTCAGCCACTCTGTGTCTTTTCATTGCAGAATTTAATCCATTTACTTTTAAAGTCGTTATTAATAGGCAAGGACTTACTATTGCCATTTTGTTAATTGTTTTCTGGCTGGTTTGTAGTTCTTTTGTTCTTCTCTTGCTGTGTTCCTTTATGGCTGAACATTTTCTATAGTGGTATGTTTTGAATTTTTCTTTTTTCTGTTTTGTGTATCTCCTATAAGTTTTTGCTTTATGGTTACCATGGGGCTTACATAAAACATCTTATAGTTAATAACAGTCTATTTTAAACCATAACTACTTAACTTTGATCATATACAGATTCTTTTGTACTTATCTCTTCCTACATTTTATGTTTTTGAGGTTGCAATTCACATCATTTTATACTGTATATTCATTAACAAATTATTATAGTTTTTTAAATAGTCATTTAAAAGACACGATACTTTTTTTTAAAAAAAGACTAAATATTATATGAGCATTAAAAGTGACTTACACACCAGTATTACATTATTAGAATATTCTGCATCTGACCAAATACTTAAACTTTATCGATGAATTTTATTCTTTCATATGTTTCATGTTTATCTAAGGACACTAATTAGTGTCCTTTCATTTCAGTAAATTCCCACCGACTAAAAGTCAGGTGCATGAATCTTCTCAATATTTTCCTACCAGATGGCTGTGGTACTTTTGCACAACACTCATAAGGAGGAACATACTGCCTCTTTAAGCAGCTCTATGAAGCAGTCTCCCCCTTGCTGAAGACATGGGTCCAGTGAAGTGGTGCCCCACACGGGCTCTGAGGTCAAACTGCCTAGGTTTAAATACTAGCTTTGCCACTTACCGGCTGGAGACCTTGATTCCATTACCCAACTCACTGGCGCTTCAGCCTTCTTATCTAGAAAATGTGGATTATAATAGTACATATCTTATAGAGTTGCTGAAAGGATGAAATGAGTCAATACATGTTAAGTGCTTGGAACAGTGCCTCGCACGTAGGAAATGCTATAAAGTGTTTGTTAAATAAAAATTCATGAATTTTGTATGTGTAATTCAAGCTGGCTTAATCAAAAAGGGATTTTTTTTGGCTAAGGTTTGGAGATGAATCTGGATCCAGGGCCTTCAATAACATCATCGGGTCATTCACTCTCTGTCCCTCCCTTGGCTATACTTTCCTTTGCCTTGGCTTCAACCCTAGCAAAACCTCAAGGGAAAAAAGAGATGGCCACCAGCAGCTCAAGGTATCCGTCCCACCAGCTCAGCAGCCCCAGCAGAATGCACTTGTGTCTCCCACCCAAGGGTTCCAGTAAAAGTCTCACAATGGATCCTCATTGGCTTGTCTTAGATCCCATTACAATATTCTGATTCAGTCTGACACCAAATGACATCAGCTCTAGACACCACACAGACTGTATACTGGGAAGGGGTCACCCATATGAAAAATCTAGATGTTGTGCCTCAGAGTAGAAAGGATGGATGCTGGAGAAAACCAGCTGTGGTCTGCTCTACCATCCATTCTGGTCAACTTTTCTGAAGGCATTTCTTATAAGCATGACTTCAGAAAATGTAGGCCTTGCTCATACTGCACACTTGAAAGTGATTAAAGTCATTTTCAGTGCAACACCTAAGTCTCTTTGAAAGCGTATATTGCAAGTCAAGAACTCTGCTCAACGTTCCTACTTTGGTAGACCACAGCTGGGCTTGAAACAGTACTATGTGGCAGAGAAAGATTCCTACTGACTCCGTCCCTTCCTGCAGGATACATCGTGAGTTGGGCTGGGGTTACCTGGTTTGTATGCACATTCTCTCAGGTCTGTGAACTTGTGGCTTGCCAAAACAAGCTGTCCAGCTGACTGTAAGCACCATCCTGGACTTGGACAGAATAAATCTCAACAGCCGCATGGACCTTGAACCCAGTGCTTTGGCTATATTGGCACTGCCCTCACAGCTCTGGTTACTCAAGGTATGGTCTTCTACCAACACCAGCAGCCTCTAGGAGCTTGCCCATACCCTCGCTGCTCAAGCTGAGGCTTCAGGTCTGATAGCATTAGCTTCACTTGGGAGCCTATAGGTAATTCAGGATCTCAGGTGCTATTATTCAAAGACCTAATGAATGAAAATATGCATTTTAACAAGGTCTTTAGGGAGTTGACAGGCACTTAAAATTCGGAAAGCACTACTGTATTAGTTTTCTAGGGCCACCTAAGCAATGTACCACAGACTGGATGGCTTAAAACAATAGGAAAGTGTTCTCTCACAATTTTGGAGGCTAAAATTCTGAAATACAGGTGTCAGCAGAATTGGTTTCTTCTGAGGGCTGAGAGGGAATTTGTTCCATGCCTGTCCCTCCCTCAGGGTGACTGACAGCAATCATTGGCTTTCCTTGGGCTTGTAGATACATCACTTCACTCTGTTTTCATCATCACATGGCACTTTTCCCTGTCTCTGTGTCAGGCAGCACACTTAGCCCCAGCTGACCCAGACCCAGTGCAGGGCCGATGTGAGAGCTTTCTGGGGGAAGTTCTCCATCAGCCTACACACTGGAAACACCTAGGGAGCATAAAAACTACAGATTCCCAAATCCTACCTTCAGAGATTCTGGCAAAACTGGTTTGGCATATTGCCTGGCCATCAGAATTTTAAAACACTTCCTAGATAATTCTAATCTGTAGCCAAATTTGAGGTCTAATAGGATGGACATTCTCGTTTCTATAAATTACAAAATAAGACAATTCAGTTCCTTTCCCAGATAGAGGAGTGGGGCATAAGCACAGATAAATTTGATAATTTCTGAAGTATAATTTGAGGCATTTGTTTGGTGCTCATAAATTTAAAATTAGTCTCTTTCTTATCTTTATGATAATGCATTACTTCCTTTGCCCTAGTAATGTTTTTCACCTGGAAATCTCTTTTTCCCCCCTGATATTAGTACAGCTACATCACCTAGCTTTCTTTTTAGTTAAATGGTATATATATATTTTTTGCATCCTTTAACTTTCAAACTTTTTATATTCCTATGCTTTAGATAAATATCTTGAATAGAATATAGCTGGATTTTAAAAAAATCTACTGTGAAAATTCTGATGCAGATGCCCTATAAATTACAGCATTCAGTCTTTTTATACTTAATGCAATTAATGATATATACTCCTGATAGCAAATAGTTTAACTTACAGGATACTTTCTGAAGGTTGTAGTTCTCACAAGTGACCATGAGAGGGCGACTCCAGTGGACTCAGACATTTATAGCCTTGAAGGGACAGAAGAAACCAGGCATTTTCTCTCTCCACCACTGCTTCCAAGGGTGTGCCTTCCCTACAATGTTTGGGCATCCTCTGACCATGGGAAGAATAAGGATGTGTGCTTGAGGACAGAAGTGTGGTGAACTGGGGAACAAAAGAGCAGCCCAGTGGTCATGCCCATCCATGGGGTAAGTGTAGCTGAAGGTATTCATTGGGTTATGAGCAGAAGCTATTGACCAACTTGTATAGAAAATTTTCAGTACTTTATAACCAGCACTGCTGTACAGGCCATTTATATCAGTCTGCTTATATATTTGGATTTAAATCTACCACCTTATTTTATTTGTAATACACATTCTATGTTGGTTTTTCTTGCCTTTCATGTCTTCTTTTACTATTTCTTCTTTTCCCTCTCTTATAGCTTTTTTTTAAAAAATGCTTTATGTATTTATTTGAGAGAGAGCAAGAGCAGGGTGGCGGAAAGGAGCAGAAGAGAGGAACAAGCAGACTCCACGCTGAGCACAGAGCTCAATGCAGAGCCCAATACCAAGGTCCTGAAATCATGACCTGAGCTAAAATCAAGAGTTGGAGAATTAACTGACTGAGCCACCCAGGTGCCCCTCCCTCCCTTATAGCTTTTAAGTTTTACTGCATTCTTTTTTTTTTTTTCATAATTACCCCAGTATAACTACCTCATTCATCTCTGACTTTTCAAAGCCTATTATTAATCAATATGTTTACTTACCTCTTTGACAATACAATGGCCTCAGAGCACCTTAATTCTATTTTCTCCCAGTCCCTACTATCTTACTGTCATGTATTTTAATTCTTCACGTATTTTTTAAATCTATAAGACATTATAGATTATTATTATAGATATTATTTGAAGACAATATTTATTAATTTTACCACCTTCTTTGTTGTACATATCTTTTTGCAGCTCTATATTATTCCGGAATCATTTTCTTTTTGCCTAAAGCATGTTCTTTAAACTCTTCCCTTAGTGAGGGTATTCTCTGTCTAAATGTTTTCATTTTGCCTTTATTCATAAAAAATGTTTCCCTGAAGATGAAATGAGAGCTTGGCAATTATTTTCTTTTGGCATCTTGAAGATGTCATTCTACCACTGCTGCCTAGGAGCTTTCAGTCTGTTACTCCAATAAAGAATCTGCCTTTTTCTCTCTGGCTGTTTTTAAGATGCTTTTTCTTCATCTTTCTGTACTTACACTATTGCGTGTTGGTGTATAATTCTTTTTATTGATCCTGCTTGAAATTTGCTGAGCTTCTGGTTTTGGTGGTTTGGTAACTTTCTGAAAGATTTTCAAACATTAATTTTTAAGATATTGCCTCTGCTCCATCTCGTTTTGAGATTGTTTAAATGTAAGATTTTCTCAAAAGATCTGATCAACTCTCCTGAATTTCTCATCTTTTTCTCTCTGTGCTTCATTAGATTTCTTCAGTTCACCTTTCACTTCATTATCACCTTTTCAATGGTGTGTAATATGCTGCTAAACACAACACATCCAACAATTTTGATTATTATAGTTTTCAAGTCTAGAAGTTGTATTTGTTTTTTTTAAAAAAATGGTTGTGTCATTTTTTATTACTATTGTTTTCTATTTCTAGAAGATATCTTCAAATCTGTTTTTTTTTTTAACTTAATTATTATTTTTTTAAAGAATTGCTATCTGATAAGTCCAGTACCTTACATCTTTCAGGGTCTCTTTCTGTTGTCTATTGTTTCTGTTTCTTCTCATTCATGGTGTCTGTGCCTGGTTATCTTTGGCTTTCTGCTAGCTATTCTAAAAAAAAATTTATCAAGCCTAGGATGAAAGTACCTTCCTCTACATACAATTTGCTTTTATGTCTGGCATGTTTGGGATCACCATAAACCAAGTTTAAGGCTCCCTAGAAGTTCAATCAAACTGCAATTTAAACTGCAATTACTTGTGAGGACTCATGTACTTATAATTCTCATTTATCTTGAAGATGTGGTCCTCTGGGGTCTCAGCTTATTGTGGGGGGGCTATCATTACTTTCCCCACCTTGTGTGGCCTTGGACATTGACCTCTGTTTCCCTTGTTCCTGCTAGGCTATCAAAATCAATTTTCAAATTTGCTAGACTTCGCAAATGCTCTCAAGAAAAAGGTAACTTTTGTACTTATTCATCTTTCTGGGTTTCCTTTTCCTCATTATTCTCTTCTTGGTAATTCCTTAATGTCTTGCCAACTCTGAAGACTTTCAAGATGATCATTATTTAAAACCAGTTTTTTAAGTTGTTTTCAGTGGCAAGGTTGGTCCAAATAATCTAGCCCATCATTATTAGAAATAGCCAAATAATGTCTTTCTTGGCACATGGTAGTCTCTCAGTAAATGATGGCTGAATTAGTTGAATTATCATAATTTTCCAAACATGCTCTCTTTCTTTGCCTGTCTGCATTTACAAAGACTGTTTCCTACCCTTATGACGCAGAGAATGCCCATATTCTACCACTGACAAGGCTCAAAACCAATGCCACCTCTTCCTCAAAAGTTCTTCCTGTTTTCCTTACTTCCCCAAATCTGAATCCTATTTCTCCCCCAGCTAAATCCTCAGGAGATCTGGTCTGTATTATTCTGGTTAATATATTAATATTAGAAATATAGGTAGAAATATATTAATAGGTAGAAGTCTAAACACAACTCTATCTCTTCTGTGGATTTGTACTTTCTTGACTTTTCTGGGCTTCTGCAGAATTCCCTTACTTCTCTTCAAGCTCAGCATACATTATAAACAGATTCTTTGGAAAATGGTATATACAGTACTTTTAAGTTTGATGTCCTAGGAGGGGATTCTTCGAACATTTAGTCTGCCATATGCTGGAAGCAGGCTGTAGTTCATTCTAATAAACCCTTACATTTGTATAGCACTTTAGAATGAACAGGGCACCCTCACATACATGTCTCTTGAGTGTTGCAATCGTCATGCTGCAGATGGGAATCTGAGGGTAATAGAGACTAAATAATATACCTGAAATAGCGTCACAAAGCCATAAATGCTCCAGTCTTTTCTCTGCAAGCTCAGGGCTCGTTCCAGCACACCACCATTGCTTCTCCATATTATTTGTGTGGCTAGTAATTCCAATCACAACGACACCTAAAACTCTTTGAAAGTAACACTCATTATGTGAAAGTACATGTGGTGTGGGAGTCAGGTCAGAGGTAGCAGACAGAGGGGTTAGCTCTGTGAGGTACCCACACACATGCCTCTCAAATGAAGGTTTTCTATATCTCAGTCCTCCTTACCTCACAACCTTGGTCCCATTTCTCATGACTTGCATGTCCACCATACAGCCCCCAGTAACATAGGCAGCTAGGTTCAACTCTGAGAATTCAGCCTGAAGGAGAAAGCAAAACACAAAAGGATTCATAAAAAAAATAACGATGCTAAAAACTATTAACATTTATTGGGTACTTGTATGTGCCAAGTATACACTTATATCTCACCTGAATCTTAGGAAGTTGATAATGTTTTACTTCCCTTTCTGAAACATGAGTAATCCAAGGTGCACAGGCATGGTGCTATGTACAAGGTCACATAATAAAAGGCAAAGTTGGATTGAAACTCTTATGTCTCCGATTCACAGACCCATGCTATTAGCCACTACTAATTTCTACTTCCTTGAAAGTGGAAGAAGCAACTCCAGCTTCAGGACTACATGAGGCCAAAGGCTGTTCAATATCACATTTTCCCTAGATTTCTCCAGCTTCAGGTTATGCAGTAGTATGGCATCACAGCTAGTGATTGCTTATCACTGTTAATGGAGTCCTCCTCATCATCTGCCCACTGCTACCTCTTTTGGTCATAGCCCCTCCCTCATCCACCTACATGGTTACAGTAGAAGCACCAGAGCTGTGCATTGAAATAGTTCTCAGCCCCTCAGTCACAGGTGATGGGGCTGGCACTTGACCCTGGGTGGAGGAATAAGGTGCCCTTGTATTAGAATTTAAAACTGCTGAGTGATTCACACAGTTTCTTTCTACAGGCTGTATTTAATATACAAAACCTGAGTATAACCAAAGACCATGTTTTCTGCTATCTGGATTGGGAAAGTACAGAAAACAAGGAGGCAGAGGGAAAAATGTCACAGTCTCTAAGAGAGGGGCATAGACAAGAGATGAGTAGTCTTGATGTTTATGTGCCAGCTATAATCTTGCCCTTAGGCTTTACTGCAATACATCTGTATCTTTATAAGTTCATCTTTTTGTTTTCCTATTTGTTTAAGCAAGATCTGCTGAATTTCTGTTGCTTGTGACCAAGGCCCTATGGAATACATCTCTTCTACCAGGTTATATACTCCCTGGGGACAGTGATTCCAGGTTATCATAACCATGCTTCCTAAGGTAGCCATAACAAAGTACCACCACTAGGTGGCTTAAACAGCAAAAATTTCTTTTCCCACACTTCTGGAGGCTAGAAGTCCAAAAACAATGTGTTGGTAGGGTTGCTTCCCTTTGAGGGCTGTGAGGGAAAAATCTGTTTCAAGTTTCTCTCTTTGGCTTGTAGATGGCCACTTTCTCCCTTTTCATTACATTGTCTTCTTTCTACACATGTCTCCGTATCCAAAGACCCCCTTTTTATAAGGACACCAGTCATACTGCATTAGGGTCCACTTTAATGATCTCGCTTAACTCTATAAAGATCTTATCTCCAAATAAGGTCACATTCTGAGGTATTGGGGCTTAGGATTTTAACATGTAAATTTTGTAGGGTGCAGACACTTCAACTTGTAACCCCATCCTAGAAAATGCATACTACCAAACTGTGCCTCTTACACGATAGATGCCAAAAGCTATTTCTCAGGATTAAATGAATATAAATAACTTCTCTTACATATGAAAAACTCACTATGTGTCAGATTCTGTCTTAAGCATTTTACATGTATGAATTAATTTAATCCTCATACTTGTCCAGATTGGAAAAAAAAAAAGGTAAAGGGAGATTAAATAACTTGCAAAATGTACACAGTTAAGTAGCAGAGCCAGGATTTAAACCCAGGCAGTCTGACTCCAGCCTATGCTTTTAACTGCTATACCCCACTACCCCCACTGTTTAGCTGAATAAGGCACCGGGTGGATTACAACTGAGAATTTTAGGGACCTTAAAATAGCCCATTTTAAGAGAAAAGCAAGTTTATATTGAAGGAAAATATCATTTCACAGTGATTGAAATGTATCCCCTTGGAAACATTTAACAGAATTATGACCAAAGACCTAGTCATCTCCCCAGATGGCATTAAAGAAAACCCAGGACACTTACGTCTCTTGCATTAATTAATAGCCTCATTATGTCGTGGCAAGGTGAAAAGCAATGAGCTTTGTTAATGAGTCCAGATTAGTAAATAGTGGTAATGACCTGTTTATTAAGTCGAAGGCCCTAAAAATTCAGTCCCATCATGTTTAAGATACTTCACTGGTGAGAATACAAAAAAGAATTAGCAATAAAAGTTGTTGCTTGACTGTGTGGAGAAAAGAAGTTAGAAGAAAGTTGCAACACAGAACATTATTTGAGCACCAAAAATTTGAAGTAAAGGAATAAATCAATCTTGAATGATAGAATCTCCAACTCCAAGATGGCAAAGCCTCATGGGCTGTCTTGCTGCCCAAATGGAAAGAGATATCTGGAAAAAAGACACACTCAGGTTTAGATATACAAGTTAGAAGTTCATCGTGTTCAGGTCAAGATTTCTAGAGTTATTTCCCAGTTATTGTTTATGAATAATTACAGGAGGTAAATGCCTCGGTTGTTAGGGGTAGCAAGCCTCTATTGGATCAAGCATAGAGAGCCACGGTAGTAAAGAGAGGGCACTCTTCTATATTTTACTCTTTAGAAATTTCAACAAACAAAACTTGTATATGAAGACAGAGGTATCCAAATACTTCTTCGTGATAGCATGATGGCCCTCGGTAGAATGTCAAAGAACAGCTATTTTTGAAGAGCCTCAGAGCTCATGTAGAAACTGCAGTGGGTTGAACTGTCTTCCCCAAAAGATATATCCACACCCTAACCCTGATACCCACAAATATGACCTTTTTTAGAAATAGGGTCTTTGCACATTTACATCTGTGATCCATCTAGAATTAATATTTTGTGTAAGATTTGAGGTTCAATTTTTCCAAATGGTTATTCAAATACTTTGCAATTATTTATTGAAAAGACTATTCCTTCCCAATAGAATTGCATACCTTGCAATTTAATGGCATTAAAGAAAGGATTAAATTCTACTTTTGACCATACCTTGGTCAAACATCAAGTCACTTCATATATGATCTATTTGTCTATCCTTGAGTCTGATCCAAGTTTTCTCAATTACTGCAGCTTTACAGTGAGTCTTGATATCAAGTAGTATAATATTCTAAGAGGGAAGCAGCCCAATAAAATAAACCAGCTGAATGTTTTGAAAGGGAAAATAGTCATGTTATACATTTGTGGGAGATTGTCTCTAGACATCATTAAAGACAGGTAGAGGGAATCCCTGGGTGGCTCAGCGGTTTAGTGCCTGCCTTCGGCCCAGAGTGTGATCCTGGAGACCCGGATCGAGTGCCACGTTGGGCTCCCTGCAAGGAGCCTGCTTCTCCCTCTCCCGTGTCTCTGCATCTCACTCTCTGTGTGTCTTTCATGAATAAATAAATAAAATCTTTTTTTAAAAAAAAAAGACAAGTAGATTTTTGCAGTATTACGCACATATAGGGACTTTGTATTTTGTTACTCTTCTTAAGACCTGGTGTGGAAGGCTTTCAACACTGATCACAACAATACCTGAAAGTGCTGGATTACCTGAGATTTCCTGTTCATGACTTTTAAAAACATGTACATGGAAGAATCAAAGAATAGTGGGAAAGGAATTCACCTTGTTGTCTGAGGCAGGGATCTAAACCTTGGATTTGACAATGACTTAATGACAATGACCACAGGCAAACCCTTCACTATCCACTGTAATTCTCTTCATCTTTATTTTTTTTAAGATTTGTTTATTTATTTATTCATGAGAAACACAGAGAAAGAGAGGGGCAGAGACACAGGCAGAGGGAGAAGCAGGCTCCATGCAGGGAGCCCAACATGGGACTCGATCCTGGGTCTCCAGGATCACACCCTGGGCTGAAGGCAGCACTAAACCACTGAGCCACCGCGGCTGCCCTCTCTTCATCTTTAAAATGAAAGAGTTATAATCAACTGAGTCAGTCACATCTACAGTGCCTTTCATTTTTACAGATATTTATTTCTCAACTAGCGTCCCTCAATTATCCCTGAAGGAAAAATCTATTATCACATCACATCTTATGAAAAAGGAATGCCAAGCAATATTTTTGTTAGAAAGCTCTTCACTGCCTCATATCCAGCTTCAGGAGCACAGTAGGTATTCAAAAATGCTTGCTAAATAAAATGTTATTTTTATTTTTGATAAGCAGATATCTACTAATGCTATGTATGTAGCTTGCCTTCTGAAACTGTCCATTGCCAGATCCATTAGCCTATAACATTGAGGAGGGTGTTTCCAGGCAGAAAGGAGGGGAAAGGCCCAATCTAAGCTTCTAGTAATGAAAGCACAGGTAAGAATACAGGGCTATTGGATCAATGGAATGGTGACATGTCTTTTGTAGCTGGGGCATGGAGTTTATGGAGGAAAATAATAGGAAGCAGAGGTAGAAAAGTGGGTCAGAGACCAGTCCAGAATGATCTTGAACTCTGCTGTGCATTGTATAGTACATTCATCTATGTATATGATGTACATACATCATATGTATAGTACATTCATCTATGTATATGATGTACATACATATTTATACATAACAAATGTATGCATACTTCATAACAAATACACATGCATACTTCATAACAAATACCACAAAGTATATGCATATATGCATGCTTCATAACAAATACCACAAAGTACTTCAAACAACACAAGTTTATTATCTCACTGCTCTGTAGTCAGAAGCCCATATTAGTTTGGCTAGTTTCTCTGTTGTGGGCTTCACAGGCCCAAATCAAGGTGTCAATCATCTGGGCTTTTATTGGAAGACTAGGAAGAAACTGCTCCCAAGCTCATTCAGGTGGTTGGCAGAATTTAGCTCTTTGTGGTTGAAGGACTGAGGTTCTGCCTCCTTGCTGGTGTCAGCTGGGAGCCTCTCCAAGACAGTTAAGGCCCCTTGCACTGTATGTCACATATTCTTAGAAATCTATTAATTTCCCCCTCTGCCACATTTCTCTCTCTAGCCAGAGTAAATTCTGTTTTTAAGGGCTTGTGTGGGCTCACCTGAATAATCAGGGTCACTCTCCCTATCTTAAGGTCCATAACTATAATCACATCTGCAGAGTCCCTTTTGAATATCATTT